ATCTGTGTTCTGCTGAACTTTCCTCACCTTGTGTACCCGTCGGGAGGGCGGGATCTTGCTCTCTCGGTAACTTCCGAAGAGTTCAAGTGGTGAAGCTTGAGTGTCTTGGCGAGACGTGGGGATGGGGTGGAGCAGCATCTGAAGGTTCAGGATCCGACTTATGATGAGCGTTGGATATTCATACTCTAATTTGATAATATCAAATTATGTAGATGTCGATTGGACAATTTTACAACAGCTACAGAAGCTGAAAAGGCGTTACAAAAATTGAACCTTAACCGTTACTTAGTACTGTAAACGGCAACTATGAGTCACAAGTTATGATAGAATGAAGTTGCTAGAATCGTGTTGAATAAGGGGCCTTTTTAGCTTCGGATTTGGATACTTGGATAAAAAAAAACTCGTCGTTAAATCTTACAGGAGTCCGCGTTTCCTCAACCGGACGCAATACCTAATCCATTTGTACGCACCATGAAATAATAGAAATGCACACAGATCAAGCCTTCGACGTAGTACTAACCATACCAATTAGAGGGGCATCCCGGTCTATAAAATGGCCCTTGCAACGGCGCACATTACTAAACTTCTTTTTTTACAGATAGGTTTTGGTCGTCCAGGGACGAGTTTGGTCTTCCAGGGACGAGTCCGAACTAAGCTCTAACTATTTACCACGTCACATTAATTGGCATTGTATTTTCTACTGTTACCTCTGCTTTCCAACGCTACGTATTGCACACGCTTCATGTTTCTCTGATCACGTCTTTATTTGCCCTTCGACTTGTTCGCGGCATTCGACTTGTTTTCCTTCTCCTCAACGTTGGGCTTGTCTTCCTTCTTCTCCGACTTACTCTTGGCCGCGTCCGAGCCCTGCTCCTTCGGAGTGCTGTCCGTGCCAGCATCCGATGCAGCAGACTCGTAGTTGAAGAATCCCGGGGATCCGAAACCGTAGGAGGGGTTGCCATAGCCGTAGCTGTTGCCGTGATCGTAGCCGTAACCATAGCTAGGGTAGCCATAGGACGAGTAGTAATCTGGGTAGTATCCATAGCCATTTTTGTCACCGTAGCCATAGGACGAGTAGGAATCGGGATAGTATCCGTTGTTATAGTAGCCATCATAACCATAGCCACCGCTGTACGACGAGTAGTAGTCAGGGTAGTAGTCGTAGTCCTTCTTGCCGTATCCCTTGTCATAGCTGTAGTAGTTTTTGCCATGGCCGTAGTAGTCGTCGTTGTAGTCATCGTAGTCCTTGCCATAGCTCTAGTAGCCGTAGCTGTAGCCAACGCCATAGCCCTTGTAGTCATGGTCGTCGTAGCCGTGGCCCTTCCGTTTGTAGTCGTCGTGACCATAGTCATCGTGACCATAATCGTCGTGGCCATAGTCGTCGTGGCCATAGTCGTCGCGGCCATAATCGTATTTGCCGTAGCTACTGGTGTACTCGGATGACTCCGTGACCTTGTCGTCCTTGTCGTCCTTGCTGTCCTTGTCTTCTAAGCGGCGACTATAGTGCGAATGGTCTTTGTGGTGGTCGTGGCCGTGATGCTGCCTATGCCCATGATCGTGCTTACGAGGGTTGCGCCCGGTAGTGCGTGCGTCAGCCGTCTGCAGTATGGAGGCAGCGACGCAAACACCGAGCAACAGGATGATCTTGGAATGCATCTTGAACGCGATGTTTCTTGGTTGTTTGACGGTGGTGCTGGTAGGGCGGTGGTCAAGAGTGCAAAGAAGAAGACGAAATGAAAAGTGAGAGAGCGGCAACACGCTGAAGAGAGAGCACAACGCTTCGGATCTATCGCCGTCACCTCAAAGAGGTCTTCTCTGTCATGACTACTTAGACTGAGGCATTCAACACGATTCTCGCAACTTTATTCTATCATAACTTTGTGACTCACAGTTGTTGTTTACAGTACTAAGTAACGGTTAAGGTTCAATTTTGGTGACGCTTTTTCAGTTTTTGTGGATTATCCAATCTACGCCTTCGTATCAAATTAGAGAATGAATATCCAACGCTCATCATAAGCGGGATCCTGAACCTTCGGATTTGGATACTTGGATAAAAAAAACAAAAGACGTCATTAAATCTTACAGGAGTCCGCGTTTCCTCAACCGAACGCAATACTTAATCCATTTGTACGCACCATGAAATAATAGAAATGCACACAAATCAAGCCTTCGACGTAGAACATATCAAGTACTAACCATATCAACTAGAGGGGCATCCCGGTCCATAAAATGGTCCTTGCAACGGCGCTTATTACTATAGCTCTTTTCTTACGGACTGGTTTCGGTGTTCCAGGGACGAGTTTGGTGTTCCAGGGACGAGTCCGAACTAAGCTCTAACTATTTACCACGTCACATTAATTGGCATTGTATTTTCTACTGTTACCTCTGCTTTCCAACGCTACGTATTGCACACGCTTCATGTTTCTCTGATCACGTCTTCATTTGCCCTTCGACTTGTTCGCGGCATTCGACTTGTTTTCCTTCTTCTCAACGTTGGGCTTGTCTTCCTTCTTCTCGGACTTACTCTTGGCCGCGTCCGAACCCTGCTCCTTCGGAGTGCTGTCCGTGCCAGCGTCCGATGCAGCAGACTCGTAGTCGAAGAATCCCGGGGATCCGAAACCGTAGGAGGGGTTGCCATAGCCGTAGCTGTTGCCGTGGCTGTAGCCGTAACCGTAGCTAGGGTAGCCATAGGCCGAGTAGTAATCTGGGTAGTATCCATAGCCATTTTTGTCACCGTAGCCATAGGACGAGTAGGAATCGGGATAGTATCCGTTGTTATAGTAGCCATCATAACCATAGCCACCGCTGTACGACGAGTAGTAGTCAGGGTAGTAGTCGTAGTCCTTCTTGCCGTATCCCTTGTCATTGCTGTAGTAGTTTTTGCCATGGCCGTAGTAGTCGTCGTTGTAGTCATCGTAGTCCTTGCCATAGCTCTTGTAGCCCTAGCTGTAGCCAACGCCATAGCCCTTGTAGTCATGGTGGTCGTAGCCGTGGCCCTTCCGTTTGGAGACATCGGGGACCTGGACATCATGACCGTAATCGTGGGTGAGATCACCCCGACCTGCGAGCATCATACCGAGCAAGAGTGAGTTATGCCGGGTGAGAGAGAAGAAGTGGAACGATCGAACGAAAGGACGGAAGTCCTAAACAACTATAG